CAAATAGTCCTCGCCGGATTTAACCTCGAAAGAATTTCCATTGACTCGAAGAAAAACTAATTCGTCGCTATCCTCATGAACAAGGTCTTGTTCGAAATCGACATCCAAAGTGGGTCATTTGGGACTCTGACCGGTATGAGAAGGAACATTAAACCGCAACCGTGAATTACGTGATTTACACACTGACTGCTTTGTATTAATTAGGAGAGTTGTCCAAACCAGAGATCTTACTGCTTTGTTTAAACAGCTTATACAAACAATTAAGAAAGAGCAAGAGGGGCCAAACACTCATTGCACAGCCTCTTCGTGTTACCTAATTGATGTCTCCAGAACATTCCAAGTTCTGTTACCATGCTTNTAACCGTCTCTTTTTACAAACGTACTATCCATGAGCCTTCGCGTACTACGCTCGCACCCAGTTCTCCGTTCCTTGTCGGCAAAATATTAATTTATGTCAATACCGATTATCACAAATTACATTTAAAGATATAGGCAAGGAGATCTCACTGGGTGTTTACTGGAACTCTCAATAGTTATTCCTTAGCTGTGAATTATGTGATTTACACACTGACTGCTTTGTATTAATTAGGAGAGTTGTCCAAACCAGAGGTCTTACTGCTGCGTTTAAACAGCTTATACAAACAATTAAGAAAGAGCAAGAGGGGCCAAACACTCAAGAAACCTTGCGAATATTAAAAGCAAATGAATGTAACAAAGAGGAAATCGTGGTAGGTACATCAGTAAATCTCAAGATGAAGATGGTGAACCTAACTGTGAATGACAATGAGACAGCGATTCAAGGTTTATCTTGCAATACAATAAGACATCTTGATGTAAATCAAAGGATAGTTATTTCTGCATTTAATATTCCTCTTTCCATCACTGCATTTCTGGGGGAATGTTCTGATCATCATTGCACTTCAGAAGCCGTCGTCTCTTCATCCATCATGAAAGCTTTTGTTTGGTTGCCTCGCAGTCGCCAATCTCGGCGTGGGCCTCATTGCACAGCCTCTTCGTGTTACCTAATTGATGTCTCCAGAACATTCCAAGTTCTGTTACCATGCTTGGGTCCTTTAGAATACTTTAGGTCTCATTTTCTGTGGAGTATCTTTGTTGACACTGACAGTAATAAGTATCAACAGACTTCTCGCTCTGATGTTGGGGTTACGATACAGGCACGTGGTAACTTTAAAGCGAGCATGGGTCGTTGTTGTTAGTCTATGGCTCTCTATAATTATCATTGTAATAATAACATTTTACCTCTTTTCGATTAGTGATTTTGTCTTATGCACGATCTTACTGTTGTGTATAATAATTTCATCGTGCTCTTACACAAAAATATATTTCACATTACGAAAACATCAAGCTCAATTACATAGTCAGCAAACAAAACCGAAAGAAGAAGGCTCAGGACAATCCAAGAGATCTGTTCCACTGAATATAGCACGATACAGAAAGTCAGTGTCCAGTGCATTGTGGGTGCAAATGACTTTAGTGGCTTGCTATCTTCCTTTAGGTGTCGTCATAGCTGTATTAGTTATTACAGCTACCCCATCTATTGAGTTAGCTTGGGAAACAACGTTAAACGCATCCCTAAATCCATCTATTTACTGCTGGAAAATCAAGGAAATAAGACAGGCAGGGAAAGATACCATTTGCCGGTTATGTTGTTGCTCAAGGTAAATGTCTCTAAATTTCTTGAAGAATGTACCAAGCATAGAAACCCAAAATAGTTAACTTTCCGTTCATTTATTGTTGGGATAGAAAAAATATCACTTGACATGATATTGCGATTTACTCGAGATCAAACATACATAATTCGTTTTTTATTCTTGTATATTCTACTTGCCATACTCTACATATGAAGAAAATGGCATTAGAATTTTCGTGTCACATCTGGTTCGCACAAAATTCATGTTTTACCGATTTTTAATTTTTTGGCTTCCATGAAAATATCAATTGACTTTAGAGACACATTACACCAGACTTCCATCCATTTTCAATTACTGGTGTAATTTTCATATTGACCAGATTATAGGAAGACTGTTAAAAAGCTTATTGGAAATACTTGGTATGGTCCATAAAAAACTGTATTGAGAAAGCTAAACAAAATAATGTCATCGGAGAGAGTGGGAAGGGGGGCGGGCGGGGTAGAAGAGAATAGAGAATATATCACTTTACTTATACCCGTCACGGCAAAAACATCAAAAACATCAGGCCTTTCAAAATTACAAAACTCTAATTACCTCGTAATATCAAATACGATGCATTAAAAAGGAAACTAATAATACTAATATCAATTAAAGTGCTCTCCATGAATGCCGTGTGTTTATAGTATTTACATGCGTTAGAACAGACCGCTGTAGCCGGATTTAAAATTGGTGAGAGTTTTTGCTTGCCGCAGCAGCGCTAGCACCGCACCACCATTATAGCTAAACCTGTTCCTTAGAAGGTTGGTGCGGGGCAGTGGAACAGCCACTTTGCCCTCGCAGTCCTTTAGCAAATGAAATGAAATTTTACTACGGTCGGTGAGCTTTGATCGGAGATAATCAGGGGCAGGACCATTTAGTGGTTCAGGGACCATCGTCGCTGTTTCCGATTTTTGTTGAACATCTAGTTTTTTCCAGCCAAGTCTTATGATGAGATCGTCGGCACTGGCGTCCTAAGAAGAAGAAGTCAAGATTCAGCTAGCTCGACTTTGGAACTTTGGAAACTTAATGCTTAGAGTTTTGTTGCAGTTCCCCCCTACGACCCTACAATAATCGAAATAAAGTTGCACTAACGTGTTATAAATGTATAGAAGGTTTTGAACGGCACAAAAGGACGGCCTCTCTTCAAGACGCCAATGCCAGAGACAATTTTTTTGGGGGAAATTTTATTGATATGTATATTCCAAGTTACTTTTTCATTTATATACAAAACAAGAAATTTGGCAAATTCAACTTGCTTTATGGAGACTCTATAAATTGTTATTGACAGATAGCACTGAAGATAGTGAAGTGGAAAATCGCTTGGAAAAAAAAAAAAATCTTGCTGACCTCGTAAAGGATGCCAAGTCAGTTGTAAGATTTTCTCCTTCCCGCAATTTCGAGTCGGACGGAATGGCAGTTTCAAAATGGCGGCCTCCGTAGTCGCTTCTTTCGAGACGAATTTCTTCAGGATAGCTGGCACTTCAGAGGCAGAAACTTCGGTGAGTGAAAAAACTGAATGTTCACTTGCAATAGGCGAAGACAAAAAGTCAGCTTTTTGGAGTGACATTCTCCTTTAAATTTTTCGTGTTTTAGGGAATTTTCGGTTCACCCAAATGATGGCCCGTGACGGCCATTGTCAACACTTAGATTTAACACAACTTTGGAAATCACTTAAACAAAAACGATCTCTTTCGCGTTCTTTGCCTGTTAATTCTTGCTTTCTGTTATTATCTTAATTTTTTTTCTTCAGCAGCCAGTGCAACCTATCTTAGAAACGTTAGATCAACCTCCGCTATAGTTTGTAACATGGATGTCAAATGGCTAAGACGTACGCTGTATACCAAGACTTGGTATTAACTGGAGTATGACCGCCATGTTGCGCGACGTCGTCGCGATCCATGCCGCTAGCCATGTTGACCATGAAAAAAAAGCGTTGCATGGGTTTCTGTTTCTATGAATGTATGCGGTTCTGTTCCTATAGTTACGAAGCTCCCCTTGGCGGGGTCGCCGGGGCTCCGTTGTAATTACCGGACCCTGGGGTATTGCGAAAACCAGGGCAAGACAAGGGTTGAAAGAACGAGGTGACCTAACTAATTCAGCCGGAATGATTTTGACGCTACAAAAACAGCAGCAAAAGTAGAAAGGGGAAAATTTGGCAATTTTTATTACTGGTCTCCGGAAGTCAGTAGATCTTATCCATATCTCCATACCATTTTCCATATCGCTGTAAAACCTAACTTTTCACTTGTACTCCCCAGAACACTTTTTCAACTACTCTGAACAATAGTCGGTACCACTTCGATCTTCTATAGAAGGACCGGAAGGAGGACGGAACGATCATGGTTACTGTGCTAGCAGAGTATTGTTTATATTCACTGCTGCACCCATTGCATAAGCACTTTCTTCAGTTATAGTAGTTCTGCGAATAACACAACCAGTTCGGATTCCCGCTCAAATCCTGGACTTAGACATTCTTTTCCGCATGGCGGCGCTTTAGGAACTAGACTACACCTGTTCAGGTCAGGTTTGTGCGATGCGCAGTAATACCATAACTGAAGGAAGTGCAAAAAGGGCAAAAACAAAGATCTCTCATATTACTATAATGAGAAGGAGGATAAATTTCCTGAGCCGTCAAGAGTAAAACATGTCAAGGAAGTGTCTCTAATGCAGTGTGAGAGGTCAGTATTATTCCTTATAAGCTAAATGATACCAAAAGCCAAGATCAATTGACTACACAATTGAAACAAAAAACCCGGGGGTACCCCCATATATAAAAGACGGGGGTGCCCCCATATAAAAAGGACGGGGGTGCCCGTCGTGCCCTGTAACACGTAAAAAGCGGTTTTGTACCTCTTAGGCTGTCAGTATTTTTAAAAGCTCCACAGCGGAAGCTTTCACAGTACCTTTTAGGGTATTGAGCTCAAAACAGTGACGAGCCGAATAGTTTGTTGTTTTGGAACTAATACCTCTTAGGGGTGAAAAACTTTTTAAG